CAAACACCTAAAGGTTCCATGTTCATCTGTACAGACAATAGTATGCAAGTATAAACACCACCAAATAAAAGTACAAGAATCAGGTACAAAAGTATCTATATCCACAGTAAAATGAATCATGTATCAACATAACTTAAACATCTCCACGAGGAACAGCCTCTCAGTTTCTGTTATTTATTTTCATTTGATAAAAGAAGTCAGCACATAATCATGTTGTCACAACAGCAGCAATGAGGAAAAAACAAACCCTGAAACTGTCAAACCGCTCCCTTTCCTGGAATGAAGAAAAGCTTGTAAATGACTCAGCTGATCTCAAAGACAATGAGCTTTGAATGAACTTGGAACTTTGTCCAGTTATTAACTTGCTCCCTCCTGTTCACTGAGCCACTGTTTTGAGTTAAGTGAAACTGAAATGCGGTGAAGTGCAAGAGCTGACAGGATACAAGAATAACATTTTGGATATTGGTACAACGTTTGTCACTTTCAGGGAAAGTGACATTTGCTTTAGAGAGGTGACATGGCGCAGAGCGGAGTTCAACTGGATGAANACTATGCCTTGAAACTGCAAATGATGTCAGTTTAGAAGCTTCAGCGGAGGAGTATCTATCAAAGTATTTTAAGGCCTACCTTCAAACCCAGTGCCTCTTTGCTTGGTACCATGAGAAAATCTAAAGAAATCAGCCAATATGTCAAAACAAAAATTTTGGACCTCCACAAGACTGGTTTATCCATGGGAGCAATTTTCAAACACCTAAAGGTTCCATGTTCATCTGTACAGACAATAGTATGCAAGTATAAACACCACCAAGTACAAGTACAAGAATCAGGTACAAAAGTATCTATATCCACAGAAAAATTAATTATGTATCAACATAACTTAAACATCTCCACGAGGAACAGCCTCTCTGTTTCTGTGTTATTTATTTTCATTTGATAAAAGAAGTCAGCACATAGTCATGTTGTCACAACGGCAGCAATGAGGAAAAAACACACCCTGAAACTCCCTTTCCTGGAATGAGGAAAAGCTTGTAAATGACTCAGCTGATCTCAAAGACTTGCTCCCTCCTGTTCACTGAGCCACTGTTTTGAGTTAAGTGAAACTGAAATGTGGTGAAGTGCAAGAGCTGACAGGATACAAGAATAAAAGTTTGGATATTGGTACAACTTTTGTCACTTTCAGGGAAAGTGACATTTGCTTCAGGGAGGTGGCATGGCGCAGAGCGGAGTTCAGCTGGACGAGGAAACAATTTGCTGTTCGATCTGTCTGGATCTACTGAAGGATCCAGCGACTATTCCCTGTGGACACAGCTACTGCATCAACTGTATTAAAACCCACTGGGATGAAGAGGATCAGAAGAAAATCTACAGCTGTCCTCAGTGTAGGCAGACCTTCAAACCAAGACCTGTCCTGGTGAAAAGCACCATGTTAGCTGTTTTAGTGGAGGAGCTGAAGAAGACTGGACTCCAAGCTGCTCCTGCTGATCACTGCTATGCTGGACCTGAAGATGTGGCCTGTGACATCTGCACTGGCAGAAAACTAAAAGCCTTGAAATCCTGTCTGGTTTGTCTGGCCTCTTACTGTGAGCAACATCTCCAACCTCATTNATCAACATAACTTAAACATCTCCACGAGGAACAGCCTCTCTGTTTCTGTGTTATTTATTTTCATTTGATAAAAGAAGTCAGCACATAGTCATGTTGTCACAACGGCAGCAATGAGGAAAAAACACACCCTGAAACTCCCTTTCCTGGAATGAGGAAAAGCTTGTAAATGACTCAGCTGATCTCAAAGACTTGCTCCCTCCTGTTCACTGAGCCACTGTTTTGAGTTAAGTGAAACTGAAATGTGGTGAAGTGCAAGAGCTGACAGGATACAAGAATAAAAGTTTGGATATTGGTACAACTTTTGTCACTTTCAGGGAAAGTGACATTTGCTTCAGGGAGGTGGCATGGCGCAGAGCGGAGTTCAGCTGGACGAGGAAACAATTTGCTGTTCGATCTGTCTGGATCTACTGAAGGATCCAGCNATCCCAGCAGGAAACTGAAGTGAGTCGAGTCAAAGAGCTTCAGGAGAAGCTGGAGCAGGAGATCACTGAGCTGAAGAGGAAAGACGCTGAGCTGAAGCAGCTCTCACACACAGAGGATCACACCCAGTTTCTACACAACTACCCCTCACTGTCACGACTCAGTGAATCTACAGACTCATCCAGCATCAATATCCGTCCTCTGAGCTACTTTGAGGACGTGACAGCAGCTGTGTCACAGCTCAGAGAGAAACTACAGGACATTCTGACAGAGACATGGACAAACATCTCACTGACAGTGACTGAAGTGGATGTTTTACTGCCACAACCAGAGCCCAGGACCAGAGCTGGATTCTTAAAATTTTCAAAGGAAATCACACTGGATCCAAACACAGCAAACACACGTCTGTTATTATCTGAGGGAAACAGAAAAGCAACAGTAATGAGTCAAGATCAATATTATTTCTTTTGTCGTTCTGGCAGATTCACCAAATGGTTTCAGGTCTTGAGTGCAGAAAGTCTGACTAGACGTTCTTACTGGGAGGTGAAAAAAGGTGTGGGAGGAGTTTCAGTAGTGGTTGCATACAAAGACACTAACAGTGTAAGTGAAAGATTTGGAGATAATTTCAGGTCTTGGGCATTAGATATTTACAAATGCCATTATGAATTCAGACACAACAATATCAGCACTTNTGTCAAGTCTTGTTTGATGTGTCTGGCCTCTTACTGTGAGCAACACCTACAACCTCATTATGATTCAGCTCTGTTAAAGAAACACAAGCTGGTGGAGCCCTCCAAGAAGCTCCAGGAGAACATCTGCTCTCGTCATGATGAGGTGATGAAGATGTTCTGCCGCACTGATCAGCAGTGTATCTGTTATCTCTGCCCTGTNTCAATATTATTTCTTTTGTCGTTCTGGCAGATTCACCAAATGGTTTCAGGTCTTGAGTGCAGAAAGTCTGACTAGACGTTCTTACTGGGAGGTGAAAAAAGGTGTGGGAGGAGTTTCAGTAGTGGTTGCATACAAAGACACTAACAGTGTAAGTGAAAGATTTGGAGATAATTTCAGGTCTTGGGCATTAGATATTTACAAATGCCATTATGAATTCAGACACAACAATATCAGCACTTCAGTCTCAGGTCCTCGGTCCTCCAGAGTAGGAGTGTACCTGGATCACAGAGCAGGTATTCTGTCCTTCTACAGCGTCTCTGAAACCATGACTCTCCTCCACAGAGTCCAGACCACATTCACTCAGCCTCTCTACGCTGGTTTTCATCTCTATGGTCCCACTGAAAACACTGCTGAGCTGTGTGGACTTGAGTAGACAAAAGTTACTTCTTTCTCAACAATTTTATTTCTCAGTGAAAGAGTGGTTAGCACTGGATCTAAACACAACACACATATACCTGTTATTATCCGATGGAAACAGAAAAGTAACATTTATGTGTGATGAAGAGTCTTATTCTAGTCACCCAGACAGATTCATTTCATATTGTCAGGTCCTGAGTAGAGAGAGTCTGACTGGACGTTGTTACTGGGAGGTGGAGTGGAGAGGAGAAGGAGTTTCCATAGCAGCCGCATATAAGAATATCAGCAGAGCAGGGAGATCCAATGAATGTGGATTTGGATACAATGACAAATCTTGAGCATTAGATTGTTACTCAAACAGTTATGATGTTTTCTTTNAGCAGCTCTCACACACAGAGGATCACAACCAGTTTCTACAAAATTACTTTTTGCTTACATGTCTCAGTGAAACTGTATACCTTCCCAAAGTCCAGCCCTTTTTTCTACAGCACTTCAGTGGAGTGAAAAAGGCTGTTTCAAAGATTAAAGATAAACTACAGGACATCCTGTGCGAGGAGTGGACAAACATCTCACGGACAGTGACTGAAGTGGATGTTTTACTGTCAAAAGAGCCCAAGAAGAGAGCTGAGTTTTTAACATACTCACGTCAGATCACACTGGATCCAAACACAGTAAACACACGTCTGTCATTATCTAAAGGGAACACAAAAATAACATCCCAAACAATAGAACAAAGTTATCCTACTCATCCAGACAGATGTACGGACAGGTATCAGGTCTTGAGTAAACAGAGTCTGATTGGACGTTGTTATTGGGAGGTGGAAAAAGGCATTGGGGGAGTTTCAGTAGTTGTTACATACAAAGACAATAACACTGTGAAGGAAAAATTTGGATGTAATGACAAATCTTGGGCCTTAGATTTTTACAAATGTCGTTACGAATTCAGACACAACAATATCACAACNACTCCTATGGGTCGTATCAGAGGGTTGGAAAAAACGACCTATATGGTTGTTCAGGTTGGAGGACTAGTTGTTACAATAACAGATAACAGTGCCACTTGATGTTCCTTCCTTCTTTCATTCCATCCTCCACACCTCTGTGACTAGACATTAAATAAATGTACATACCTTCTTCCTTTCCTTCTCTCCCTCCCACCTTTGCCTGTTGGCTTCCTCCCTTCCAGTCACCTACATTGTTACTGTATGTGTGTGTGTGTGTGTGTGTGTGTGTGTCTATGTGTCTGTCTGTGTCTGTCTGTGTGTGTGCGTGTGTGTGTGTGTGTGTTTGTGTGTCTATGTGTCTGTCTGTGTGTGTGTGTGTGTGTGTGTGTGTGTGTGTGTGTGTGTGTGTGTGGCTGTGTGTGTAAATGGGGTGCATTAGTTTTATTGTTTTTGAGAGCGGCACCGTGAAGTCAGCCACCCTGGTCATGCTTGAGTGATGTGGCGGAGAGTTTCATTATGCTGTGAAATAACGATCATACCATGATTAAGGTGATTAGATTTCATGAATATTTGAAAGGCGAACCAAATTGCTGATTAAATATTTACTGGTGGTTTCCTTTCTGACAGACTGGGAGATCATATCACATTTCCCAAATGGCTTACTGTACTGTACTGGAGAGTTTTCATGTGTTAGCACTACACTCCAATATCATATAACTGTATGTTAATCAGGTGAACGACTGTCAATTTTAATGAAGTTTATTTTTAGTTATGCAGCTGCGAGGTGTGTGAATCATATCTGTGTGTTCAGACTTGACTGAGTTATGAGTCAGAGATAGAGTACGAATTGTGAAGCAGATTGTGGCGACTGGGTAAGTTTTTTAATTAATCTCTGTAGCTCAAAATTGTGTTCAAGTACAGAACTTAGTCATTTTCTACCACATAAAGTAACTAATTTACCATAGAATTTACTTTACTTAGAATTTAAGTTGTTATATAATTTGTTAAAACCAGTTACCTGTTTGACTGTTTGTGTCATGACAGTTAAGTTGCTGTGTTAAACTTAACAAGCACCTGAAAGCTGTGTTATGGGAAACACGAACCACTGGCGGCACCAAGTGGCAGCAAGAGGTAACTGTGGAGTTCATAGGCTTCAATATATATATATATATATATATAGATATATACATATCTCTCTCTCTCTATATATANTATATACATATATATATATATATATAGAGAGAGAGAGAGAGAGAGAGAGAGAGAGAGAGAGAGAGTCATGGATATATATATATATACTGTATATGTATATATATACATATATATAAATGACTTAAAACAACTATTTCTATTTTACTACTATACTATTTCTATCACTCAACTACCAAACTAACTGCGTCTCCTTCCTCGCCCTTCTTTTTCATTAGATAAGTTACACTCCACGTTACAAATGCCAGTTTCCATGGCCAGTGACAAGTACAGCTATAGGCCAAGTCATTTGGTGTCTGAGAAGGAGCTCCACACCCTGCACTTATAATTTAATGAAGGAAGTTTACCTACACTTAGGTTGAAGTCATTGAAATTAATTTTTTAACCACTCAACACATTTCATATTATCAAACTATAGTTTTGGCAATTTGGTAGGGGCATCTAGTTTGTGCATGACACAAGCATTTTTTCCAACAATTGTTTACTGACAGAAAGTTTCACTTTTAATTCACTATATAACAATTCCAGTAGGTCAGAGGTTTACATACACTACGTTGACTATGCCTTGAAACTGCAAATGATGTCAGTTTAGAAGCTTCAGCGGAGGAGTATCTATCAAAGTATTTTAAGGCCTACCTTCAAACCCAGTGCCTCTTTGCTTGGTACCATGAGAAAATCTAAAGAAATCAGCCAATATGTCAAAACAAAAATTTTGGACCTCCACAAGACTGGTTTATCCATGGGAGCAATTTTCAAACACCTAAAGGTTCCATGTTCATCTGTACAGACAATAGTATGCAAGTATAAACACCACCAAGTACAAGTACAAGAATCAGGTACAAAAGTATCTATATCCACAGAAAAATTAATTATGTATCAACATAACTTAAACATCTCCACGAGGAACAGCCTCTCTGTTTCTGTGTTATTTATTTTCATTTGATAAAAGAAGTCAGCACATAGTCATGTTGTCACAACGGCAGCAATGAGGAAAAAACACACCCTGAAACTCCCTTTCCTGGAATGAGGAAAAGCTTGTAAATGACTCAGCTGATCTCAAAGACTTGCTCCCTCCTGTTCACTGAGCCACTGTTTTGAGTTAAGTGAAACTGAAATGTGGTGAAGTGCAAGAGCTGACAGGATACAAGAATAAAAGTTTGGATATTGGTACAACTTTTGTCACTTTCAGGGAAAGTGACATTTGCTTCAGGGAGGTGGCATGGCGCAGAGCGGAGTTCAGCTGGACGAGGAAACAATTTGCTGTTCGATCTGTCTGGATCTACTGAAGGATCCAGCGACTATTCCCTGTGGACACAGCTACTGCATCAACTGTATTAAAACCCACTGGGATGAAGAGGATCAGAAGAAAATCTACAGCTGTCCTCAGTGTAGGCAGACCTTCAAACCAAGACCTGTCCTGGTGAAAAGCACCATGTTAGCTGTTTTAGTGGAGGAGCTGAAGAAGACTGGACTCCAAGCTGCTCCTGCTGATCACTGCTATGCTGGACCTGAAGATGTGGCCTGTGATTTCTGCACTGGGAGAAAACTGAAAGCTGTCAAGTCTTGTTTGATGTGTCTGGCCTCTTACTGTGAGCAACACCTACAACCTCATTATGATTCAGCTCTGTTAAAGAAACACAAGCTGGTGGAGCCCTCCAAGAAGCTCCAGGAGAACATCTGCTCTCGTCATGATGAGGTGATGAAGATGTTCTGCCGCACTGATCAGCAGTGTATCTGTTATCTCTGCCCTGTGGATGAACATAAAGGCCACGACACAGTCTCAGCTGCAGCAGAAAGGACTGAGAGGCAGAGAGAGCTCCAGCTGAGGCGACAACAAATCCAGCAGAGAATCCAGTACAGAGACAAAGATGTGAAGGTGCTTCAACCATACTGACTCAAACGCTAGATAACTTCTACTGGAGTTACTTCATTTTTTGATTCAATTATAATAATGTGTTGCAACATTTAGATACATGTTGTTCGCATTGCGTGAGCAGCCCGCATTTACAACCAGTTTTCATAGTTGCAACACTCTGTCACGAGATATAATGTTGACAAACAAAGATAACTTGGTCTACTCTATCCACAACAGCTTCAAGTGTTAATCCAACCAGACCGTAGAGATTGAAGCAGCTAGAGAGGATGAGTGATGTGGTTGCGTTGTGGAGAGAGTTATGGTTTCAGAGCGCCTGTAGAGGACCAGAACTGCACTAGTGTTCCAGGCTACACTCTATCTGGGAGGCCCGAGGACCTAGTTATGACGTGAGTGAGTGTTGCTTAAAGAAACATCTAATGTTTGGTAAGCAATCAATGCTCAAAGATTTCGTTCATTGTATCCCAAAATAATCCACATTCATTGGTGCTACTCGCTCTTTGCGTTGATATTACTGTATATGCGGCTGCGTATCGGAATTCCTGATCCTCCCACTCCACCTCAGTACACCGTCGATCGCTCTTTTACTCAGACGTGACAATAATGAAATGAATTGTTGGGTGACTAGATAAGACTACTTATCACACATAACATTGCTTGACTTTTCTGTTTCGCATCGGCTATAAAAGGTACTATTGTGTGTTGGTGTATTCAATCCAAGCTAGCTTAACACGTCTTTCACTGAGAGATTAATTGTTGAGAAAGAGTAACTTCTTAGTCACTCAGTCACAAGCTTCGCAGTGTTTTTCAGTGAGGGACCATTTAGAGATGAAAAACCAGCATTGAGGGTGACAGTGAGATGTGGTCATGGCTTGTGGGGGGTCAATGGTTTTCAGAGCGCTGGTAGGGACAGATATGCCTCGCTCTGTTTGATCCAGTCCCACTCCTACCTCTGGAGGACGAGGAACTGAGACTGACGTGCTGATATTGTTGTGTTCTGAATTCTAATGGCCATTTGTTAAATATCTAATTGCCGAAGGACCTTGAATTATATCAATCTGTTCAATTAACTTGTTCCTGTCTTTGCTATGCAACACTACTGAAATCCTCCCACAGCCTTTTTCAACCTCCGCTAGAACGTCTAGTCAGACTTTCATGCCTCAGACCTGAAACTTTGGGTGGATCTGCCAGAACGACAAAGAAACTATATTGATCTTGATCATTACTGTTGCTTTCTGTTCCCTCGCTAATAAAAGACCGGTGTGTTTTGATGTGTTTGGATCTGTGTGATTTCTTTGAAAAATTTTAGATACCCTCTTCGGTCTGGGCTTGGTCAAATGGTGCAGTAAAACATCCACTTAGTCACTGTCAGTTGAGATGTTTGTCATGTCTCTGTCTCGATGTCCTGTGTTTCTCTCTGAGACTGTGCGCCACTGCTTCCGGTCCTCAAATATTTCAGGGAGAGATGTTCCGTCTGCTGGATGAGTCTGTCAGATTCACTGAGTTCGTTGCACGTGAGGCGGTAGTTGTGTAGAAATGGCCTGTGATCCTTCCTGTGTGTTGAGAGTGCTTCAGATCAGGTCTTTCCTCTTAGTCAGTTGACTCATCCTGCTCAGGGTGTTCTTGAAGGCTCTTTGACTCCGAAACCTCATTGCAGTTTCCGGTCGGGGATCTTAACTCTGCTGACTATAATCGAGTTGCTTTTCTCTGGACGGATCAGCTCAGTGAAGACCTCTTCTCACCTGTCTCACATGCTTCCTCAGCGAGCTTGATAGCCTCCTCCTGGTTTGAAGCACCTTCACATTACATTTGTCTCTGTCCTAGATTCTCTGAGTTGCGATTTGTTGTCGCCTCAGCCTGAGAGCTTTCTCTGCCTCTCAGTCTTTTGCTGCAGCTGGAACTTGTCGTGGGCTTTTGTTCTCCACAGGCGAGATACGATGCACTGCTGATCAGTTGAGCGAAACCATCTTCACACTCACTCATACTGACGAAACAGATGTTCTCCTGGAGTTCTGTTAAGGAGGGCTCAGCCAGTTGTGATTTCTTTAAGAGCTGCATCTATGAGGTTGGATATGTTGCTCACGGTAAGGGCACGAAACCAGACGAGGATTTCAAGGCTTTTAGTTTTCTGCCAGTGAGTGTCAAACGCCATCTTCAGATGCGCTCAGCAGATGATCAGCAGGAGCGCTGGAAGTCCGTCTTTCTTCACTCCTCACCTAATCGCAATGGTGTTTTTACCAGGACAGGCTCGGTGTGAAAGGTTGCCCTACACTGGGCAGTCTGTGGAGTTCCAGTTTTCTCATCCTCTTATCCCAGTGGGTTTATAATACAGTCATGCAGTAGCTGTGTCCCAGGATAGTCCCGGATCTTCATAGATCCGCAGAATCGCACAGCAAATTGCTTTCTTATCCAGTTGAAACTCGCTCTGCGCCATGGTCACTCTATAGGAAATGTCACTTTCCTGAAAGTGACAACCGTCATGTACCAATATCCAAATGTCTATTCTATGTATCTGTCAGCGTCTTGACTTCACCGCACTTTCAGTTTCACTTAACTCAAACAGTGGCTCAGTGAACGGAGGAGCAATTATACCTGGAAAATTCCAGTTATTCAAAGCTCTTGTTTGAGATCAGCTGAGTCACTTTACAGCTTTTCTCATTTCAGGAAGGAGCGGTTTTGACGATGTTTCGGTTTTGTTTTTTTCCTCTTGCTGTGTATGTGACAACCAGATTATGTGCTGACTTCTTCTATCAACATGACACTAAATTAACGAACTTGAGAGGTGTTCCTACGTGGATGTTTAGAAGTTTTGTTGATATCCATGTTTTCATTTTACATAGTGAATACTAGATACTTTTGTACTGATCTTGTACTTTTATTTGTGTGTATACTTGATCTAACTATTTCGTCTGTACAGCATGAAATGACTTTAGGTGTTTGGAAAGTTGCTATGGAGGTCCAAAGTTTTTGTTATTGACATATTGGCTGATTTCTATTAGATTTTCTCATCACGTGTATCCAGCAAGAGGGCACTGGGTTTGAAGGTAGGTCTTTAAGTACTCGCGGATATTATACTCCACTGAGCTCTAAACTCGACACTCATTTTGCGTTTCAGGCATTGTTCAACGTTTCAGCATTATTGTACAACCTCTTGCTACCTACTGGACCGTTCGTATATATCAGTGAATTAAAATTTGATTGTTTTTTGGAAAAAATTGCTTGTGTCTGCACAAACTTAGATTTGCCCCCTTCACCAAACCTTGCCGCCAAACAACCTATAGTTTGATAATCATGAGAATGTGGTTGAGTGCGTTAAACAGAGTTTAATGTCCAATGACTTCAACCTAAGTGTACGGTAAACTTTCCTAGATTTTCACATATGTATAAAGTCCTTCATTAATTATAACGTGCAGGGTCGCTCGCGAGCGTCTTCTCAGACACCCAATGATTGGCCTATAACCAGTAATTGTGCACTGGCCACTGGGGACAACTGAGCTTTGTTAACGTGGAAGTGTCACCTTATCTTAGATTTCGACAAAAGAGGCTGAGGAAGGAGACACAGTTCTGTGTTGGTAGTTAGTTGATGCCAGAAAATTGTTGTTTAAGCTCATATTTCGTGGTGATTCCTCCAACAGTAAGCTCGGCACGGTGATGACCCGACCAGCAGTATATAGTATACATATACAACATATACATATACTATAATATAACTTCCCATGACTCCTCCTCACGCTCTTGCTCTCTCTCTCTCTCTCTCTGATAATATATGTATATTATAGAGAAGCAGAGAGCTATAGATATATATATATAACTATACAGTCACTATACTATCTTGTATACTGATAATATTATATCTAGCCGCGTGGTCCACCTGCCGATTATTGTTGGAAATACACCAAAGATGACTGTTAAACAACAAGTTTCTGGCTCACTCAACTACCAAACAAACTGCTGTTTCTCCTTCCTCACCCTTCCTTTCTTCATTAAGATAAAGTTCACTCCACGTTACAAATGCCAGTTCTCCCAAAGTGGCCAAGTGACAGTTCACAGTATTCTCAGGCAAGTCATTTTGTGTGAGAGGACGCTCCCACCCTAGCCACTTTCATATTTCAATGACACAGGGACTTAATACATTGCAAATAGACGATTTACCCTACCATTAGCGTTAGAAGTATTTGGAAATTATTTTTTAACCAGACTCAACACTTTCTTTGATACGCTATGTTCTTGGCATTTGGTAGGGCATCATTTTTCAGTTTTCGTGCTGACAAAGCTTTTTTCACATATTTTTTAATTCACTATCTATAACCCGATTCGACTAGGTTCAGAAGGATATATAATCTACACTACGCTTGACATATAGCCTTGAAGTACTGCAAGTCATGATGTAACAGTTAGAAAGCAAATGGAGGGTCTCATCGAGGTATTTTAAGAACTAGCCTTCACACCCGAGTGCCATACTCATTTGCTTACAATACAAACACGAGTACAATGAGGAATTAACAAGAATCAGCCACTATGTCAACCACTAAACATTTTGACTCAACTGAGCATTCAAAACCTAAGGTCAGTTTCCTCGTGTACAGACAATAGTACATGCAGGTATAACACCACCAAAATAAACGTACAAGCATAGGTCAAAGTCTCCTATATCCACAGTAATGAATGTATCAACTTACTCTAAACATCTCACGAGGAACGCTCTCATTTTTCTCGTTATTTAATTTTCATTTGCATTAAAGAAGTCAGAGATAATCATGTTGTACTAGCAGCATGAGGAACAACAAACTGACTGCTTACCGTCCCTTTCTGGATGAGAAGTTGTAAATGATAGCTGATCTACAAACATGAGTTTGGAAATGAACTGACTTTGTCCAGATTTAACTTGTCCCTTTCCTGTTCACTGTGGCCATGTTTTTAGTTAGTTGACGTAAAATGCAGAAGCGGTGAGTGCAAGAGCTGACAGGATACTGATTAACATTTTGGCTATTGGTAGCAACGTTTGTCACTTTCAGGAGTGG